TTTACAATGGACTCAATGCATAATAAATTACCGATTGGCCAATGATACAGATGAATGTGTTGAGTTATATACAATATATATGATGAATGAATTACAATTCAGGTAAATCCAAAAGGGCTTTTCAATAGCTGCAAAATGTTAAATAAAATTGCATACATTGACTTTTAAAAATTAATTTGACTGCTCAACGCTCGAATATAATGATTAACCACACAAATACACACACACACACACACACACACACACACACGCAGAGTGAAAGCATTCAACAGCTTCTTTCATGATATAAATAAAATGAGCCATATTGATACTCTTTGTATTTGATTCGAATCGTTATGGCTGCAACATTCTTGTAATGATTTATTAATGATGCTTATTATTATTGCTTAATTGCTGATATTTACATGCGCCCACACACACACACACACACAGACAACATTCGATATTCGCTTTATATGAATTACAGACTCTTTCCATAATTCAATTGAAATCAAAATATTACTTAAATCACGCACAATCAAAGCCCGAATATGCGGCTGCCGTTTTGTTAGTTGCCATTTAATTGTTGTAAAAATTTAATTAATTCGATTAAGTCGCATGCACAAATTTTATGATACGGCTCGAGTGGGCCGATCGGCCAGTGGGAGGGACGACTCCGCACTCTTTAAAGCCCAAAACGTATAAATGAAATTCAATTTGCATTATCCCTGAACGCACTTGTGGGCTTTAAAGCTAACTGCAGCGTCTGCAGTCTGCAGTGTGTTTAATTAGTATATTGAAATGAATTCACAATCATTTACGAAGTGAGTGAATTTCAATTTAATTGGGTCTTGCCTTCGATTTCTGTTTTGAGTTAAATAAATGCTTCTGCTAGAAATTGTTTTGCTTACATGAAATAGCTGCAAATTATATTTAAAAATTTTGGTTGATATTTATTGATAGATAAATTTATAATTTTCCTAAATTTACATCTTTCATCTTTAATATTTTATTCTCCTCACCTCGCTTTTTATCAGCCATGCTCTTTAAACAATCCATATAGCCCATCTATTTGTAGTTATAGCTTTTGGTAGAACTCTCATAAAGTGTATGAATGATTTATTGTAACGAGCTCGCCGTTGCTTTTGTATTGTCCCACGTTGTTCGTTGTTGTCGAATCGTTAAATAATATTTGTAAAAATTTTTGCAATTAATTTTTAAGCGTTTTTAAAGCTCATTTTAATGCAATCATAAAGCGCAAAGCTGGCCTTAAAATCAACGCACGCCTCATACAAATCCACACAAATGACAATCGCTCCCCAGTCGAGCCGTTTGCTGCCCGAGTGGACAAAGAAGTTCGCTTCTGCTGCCGCGTTAATCAGCGTCGCATCGGCCCAGACCGCTTTGACTTCCTTCACACTTTATGGGCATTGTTGGCGCATTGTCTCGCTTGATTATGCCCGACAGATTTTGATGCTGGTGCTGCTCCTGCTGCGTCTCCTGCCGGTTTTTTATGCGCGCGGACTCATGACACGCAGACACATAAATTTCACATACCCAGACCCACGGGCCCAGCCAAAGGACCTGCAACTTGAATACGCAACGATTTGCATATAAAACACTCGGAAAACAATGCAAGCGCCACCCTCGATTGAGATTTCTCTCAGCCCTCAGCGACACTCATACGCGGTGTTTATTTAGCCGGCCAGACGAAACTTAACTACGAATGGAGGAGCGCTTGATGTCATATAAATATTCTCGACTTGAATGCTTTGACTTGATATAGGCCTTATTCATAATTAGCTATTAATTATAATGACATATTTTGGCTTATAGTGAGTTGATTTTGTGCCAGGAAGACTTAAAATGGCAAATAAGCTGTCGATGGCACTGAAAAGCTCATGATATAGCTATGTATATAGACACACGTTCACCCTTTGTGTGTTTTTTATATCGTATATCCCTTAATATTTTCTTTTCATTTAAGAATTTATATACAAAGTCTTATACCTTTTCCTTTATCTTCCATAATGCATTGCATATGTATTCGAAGTTGCTCAACTCAATGCAAATTTCGCACAGTGTATGCACGTGCATATTGTATCATCTTTAATTTCTCTGCTCTAATTCGAATGCTGTCTCTGCAGACATGCTCAAGTGGATATTAAGGTAAAACAAATGAGCGTCAAAGGTTCAACAACACCCACAAAGTAAATATACCGAAATGAAAGAGAAAATGGGTACGTGTGTGTGTGTGTGCAAGCGTTAGCCGACCCCAATAATTTAAGCACAATTTATGGCATAAAGCTAAAGATACGCAGCAGAGACCAGAGACTGGCTAACAGCCCCGCCCACTAAAAGTGGTCAATGGCCCAGACAAAATAAAAATAGCCAGGCAAATGTTTGCAGTTGTATTCTTTTTACTGTTTTGTCTGCTTCTAATCCTTGCACACACACACACACACACACAGAGAGAGAGTGAGTGAGTGAGTGAGCAGCATTCATTTGGCATAAATCAAATGTGTGCGCTATATCTCTGTGTGTGTGTGCGTGTGTTTGTGTAAGCTGCCTTGACTTTGGCTGCTGTTGCGTAGTGTTAATTAGTATTTAATCTATGAACCATAAATAAATCCCTTTTTTGGCAAGGACACTCAGCTTTTGTAGCGCCTTAATAAATTGCCAATTATGTGTCATAGAAGTTAAGTCAACTAATTGCTGCTTTTATTTTCTCTCTCTCTCTCTCTCTCTCTCTCTGAGTGTGAGTCGGACTGTGACTCTGTGTGTGTGGGTGTGTTTGTGTATGTCTGTGAATATACAAGTGTGCTTTGAGAGCCCAGCAGCATTTGGAGGAGATCAACGTGCATGATTCATACAGATCTTAATGCTGAGCTTCTCTTGTAAATAAATATGTAAATATAAATATATGTTATTTAAAAAAAAGAACTTCTCTTAAAGGATAATAGCTTAACAACTGCCCATAACTGCAATTAAATGCTTATGACTGCAATTAAATTAAATATTTCCTACAGACTTGATTGACTTTTATAAATACTTTAAAGAGACAATGAGATGCCAAAGAACGTTGATTAAAATAGGGAAAGCCAAGTTTTTCTGTTATATGATTCTGCTTTAGCTGCAATTGTGCAACAGATTTGCTTTGATTCTAAAATTTATTATTTATTATTGTTTATTATTTTATTTATAATTTTATTATTATCTTTCTCTCACCTTTGACAAACTCAGCTTTGTAATTTGCAACCAGGTTACCAGCTGATAAAGCTAGTCAGTTTAGCATTCATGTGGAATCAAGGATCTCTGCATATTCGAATTTCCATTGAGTGTAACACTTGCTACTCGAACAGCAGGCAATCAAGTTTTCCACTGAGCGTGCAAATATTTATTCAATGTGTGTTTGTGTGTGCGTTGTCAATCGATGGCGCTTGAAGCGCCTATAAAACATTTTAATTGATTGAGCGCTAAGCTGTTGCCAAACACCCAAACTAAAACCCACCAAGTCCCAATGTCAAACATGCCTGCGCCCCTCTGGCACATTTCAGCTACCCTACCAATACGCTGGCGCCATCTGTCGGCTGCTAGCTGCAGGCTGTGGGCTAAAAACTAATGCGTACATTTGCATTGCAAATTGCGCATTTTAAAGCGCGACAATTACAATGTAGAGTAGCTCCCCATTTCTAACAGAACGCATTCCCCTCTACTCTACATTCCCCTTCCCCGCAGTCCACAAAGCATTTGCGCACCCAAACACTGTCTTCAAAAGCAATTAGCGATTAGCGTGTAAAACTTTTAAGCATCACTCGTTACACACACACACACACACGCACATCCGAAATGAAGGGGCGAGTGTGTATCTGTCTCTCTCTCTCTCTCTCTCTCTTTCTCTCTCTAAGTGCGTGTGTATTCGCACATTAGCTTGTTCTGTCACAATTTCTTTTATTTGCATTTTCTACAATTTGCATCAATGTTGTTGCTGTTGCTGTTGTTGTTGTTGGCACCGCAATTCGCAATTTGCAATCGCTCATTGATTTCGCTCATCAGATTTTCTCGTTGATTTTAAATGCATTCGCAATTTCCTGACTTGCTGTTTTAATTGTGCGCATTAAAATCAGCGCATCGATGCATTTTTAATTCAAATTAAAAATCGCTCGCTCCAATAACAAGTTTGCGGCAAGCGCGGCTGAAGAGACAGCAGGTGCATGCATGATTGCCAGCTGAGCAGGCAGAGATAGATATACGCGTTAAATTTAAGTATTAACAGCCAATCAAATACTCGGAAAACTAGAGATGAAACTGAGAATTTTTGAATTAAAAATAGTTAAGAGCTGAACAAAAATAATTATTATTAATGATGCACAGAAAATAAAGGAAAAACCAATATATATCGCTATGTAGCTAGCATTGTTGAATGAGAGACACAAGAAGGGCTTGAGAGTTCGATAAATAACGAGAGAGTGAGAGAAGGAAAATCTATGTATTTATAATCATAGCTTAGTGGTTCTGTACATTAAAGAGTTTCCCATGACAAAACAAACATGAATAATCAAACAGCAAACAGAAAACAAGTAGCCTTTACCTAAAAAAAATACATCATAATACATAAAAAAATGTTAATTCCCAACACAAACAAACACTTAACAACAGAACATAATAAAACTCACAAAAAATAAACTAATAAATAGAAAAAAAAAGATTCACGAATAAACAATAAAATGGCCAATAAAAAGAACTTTACAAACACTATTAAAGACTTTACAGATCACACATATGTCCATCCGCAGTACGATGAACAATTTCTTCAAGAGCCGTCAAAAGTGCAGGAAACAATAGACCTCCTCGAGCAGATGATAAACGCCAACAAAATGGAGGAGTAAGCTAGAGATGAATCTCTTCATATATCTATATATAATCATATATTGTCACTTATGGAGCAGCAAGCGGGCAGATAAGAAGCAAGCTCAGATAGAGCAGCTCGACTCCAGCGAGAGTGTTACGGACACAGACTTTATAATATTTAGGCGCTCGCAGACTGGTCGCATGTCGACAAAGAGATCCAAGTCAAAGGTCAAGTTACCTGTTAACACCAACCAGTTCACATTCATGCGGCAAATCGACAACAGCCAACAGGAACGCAGCGCGACGCGCGAGGAGCGCGAACGAGTTGCCAACAATTTTCGCAGGTGAGTCGGGATTACTAACATATCGTATCCATGTACATTTAGCATATTATTTGAGCAGGTTGGGCAACTTCGCCTATCGCAAAGGACAGTTTAACAATGCCATTGATCTGTACAATCATGGATTGGAGTACATAACTGATACGCCAGTTCTATACCTGAATCGCGCCTGTTGCTATATTAGGTATATAGCTCAGATATTTGACTGTCTGTTGGCTCTTAATTATATCTCCTTTTTGCAGGCTGCGCAGCTTTCAGCGCGCCATCATGGACTGTGATTACATATTGAATAAATTGAATCCGAAGCATGTGCGCGCTTGGCTCTATCGAGCTCTTGCCTTCAAGCGCCTTCACGAGGAGAACAAGTTCAACGACTGCATACGCCAGGTGAGGCGAGTGAATAGCAAGGAAAAGGCGTTTATTGATGGATTTCTAGAAAGAATGCAGTCAGCATACTAAACTGCGCTTTGCAAATTCTATGTGTGTAAATTCCAGAACAGAAGTGAACTTTTGGCATGAATTCAGTATAAGCAAATAAACCAGAACTACAGTGATTAATCCTATATCAAAACTAAATTATTTGAATTGGTCAATTCGAACCAGTAAAAGAGGTTAACAAACTCAGGTTCAGTCTGTCACTTCTCTCAAATGCTCTTCATGTACACTCGTATACAAAGACACACACTTCTTATGTAATACCATAAGTTAATTTTCACACTTAAGCACTTAGTGTTAATCGATTGGCTTTTGAGCGGATGTGGAGTCTGGTCAACCCTTCTGGCGAGCATAAAAGCCATCATCGAGGGCAATCATTTAGGATTATCGTGTGCCTCCCTTTCTCTTCTCTCACTCTTTATTGTCTGCCTTTTTTTCTCATTTCCGCTTCAATATGGCCGGCAAGCCCTATCGACTTCATCGCCAGCCACTCAATGGCCAGCCAACACCTTCGACTTCAGGCTGAGCTCTTTGAACAACTTTCAGTTGATTAGCCGTGCACTCTTTGGTCCCTAATTAACTGCAAGTAACTCGCTCATAAAAGTCGACGAAGACAGTTCGCTGGAAAAAACGGGGCTGAGCAAATGCCCAGCAATTGATTTTTATGACTTGGCTGAAAGAAACGCAATTGAAAAATTAATTGAAAGTCTCCACGAGGGCGTGTGTCGGGCTGGTCTGCACTCTGCAACTGCAAAGCCAGATGGCCGGCTAGTTATTAGAGCTGGGCCTCGCTTAAGTCGCTGGCCAAGTTTTTCGGAGCACTTTCAGTCAATTTGATCTTTTAATTAAATTTATTATGGCAAATGGCATAAAATCTGATATGGCTTACTTCATTTCTGCATCTCAGCAAAATGCACTCGAGTTGAGCCCATTTCCCCCAAAGCCTAACACTAAGACTCGTCTAATGCCGTATACTTTACTATCTCTTTATACATGTACGTATATTTATTTATATATAAAAATCATATATTTTCTGTGTGCAGCATTTTATTCAATTTTCCTTTAAGGATATTTTATTTTCCTATTTCTGCTTTTTTTTTTTTTTTTATGCAAACTTTGAGTACTTCAGTATTAAACAATATTTGATTTTCAGCATTTATTTTGAAGCCAATTTTTGATAAAATATTTACTATTGTCTTTGGCCTGATAATAATAAATAATATTTTAACTCTGCGGATTCTAACTTGAAATAAAGCCAACTCAATAATTCTATAATCCCAGTTTTCTTTTTTATTCAAGTTAAAATTTTTGTCATTATGCGATGGTCATCCCTGCCACCCTCCACCTGTTTAAAAATAATAAAAAAATAGACATTTCACGTTCATGAATGGGTATAAAAAGTCTACCATGAGTTCGCATTTTCAGTCAATGCACCTCTTATATACATATAATACGAGTAGAATATAAATTTAGTTAAATTTGTATCGCAAGAGAAGACGACTTAAAGTGCTGGAATTTAAGTCTTAGCATGTGGTTTTGGCATTTAATCATTGTATTAGAGTATAATTACTGCATTTAATTTCATGAATCGACATTTCGTTTTAGCTACGAAAACACGCGCAAGCCACAAAATTAATTTCAACTTAAACACAAAGCAGCGCGCATAAAAGCGCGAGAAATTCGCAAAGTTATTTTACGATTTTAATAAATTTCCAATATGTGCGGCACACCTGATCCACCAGCAGTCCGCAAGCCAATGGCTGGGGGCGAGGACGGGGCGGGGCTAAGCCCAAAACGGACATAAAATAAAATGAAAATGTTATTTATTGGGCGGGGGCTGGCAGAGCGAAGCTCTACTACAATGCAGGGTCACGAAGTTAATACCTCGGGTTATATCTCTAAAAACAGCGCAAGCAATCCACGACCATGCGCCATTTACGAGTTGTCGTGTGTTTAGCACATTGCGTATACGCAACATGTGCGTGCCGTAAACATTTTGTGTGCCATCCATGCCCGTTTACGTATTTAACATCGAAATGTGTTTAATTGCAAAAAGTGTAATTTATATGCGTATGGGTGCTCGGCGAAGAAGCCGTCCCAAAGAGGACATGGGCCAGCTGAAAAAGTCTGCCATAGGAGAGGAGGGGAGAGGAGGTAATTAAAGTCCAGTTGGCGGAGACAACGCTCCTAACGAAAGTTTTCCATTGTTGGTTCAATCGCATGGAATAATTTATTAATTAACTACAATTCGAATGAATGAATGAACGATTACAGAGGCTGCCAGAACCACAGTTGGTTTTAGATGAGACTGAGCACTGAAATAGGGACTGCAGGAGACGCAGCCAGACGGAGTGTATAAGACGGCAACAGCTGTTGCTAGAGATGGCCGAGTGCGGATGTAAATCGAAAGTGAAATGTTAATGTGAGATAAAATGAGATTAAATATGGAATATTGAAGTAAACTTGCATAATGTTAGGCAATGAATATAATCGGTATAGTCGAAGTAGACTATAAAAATAATAATTTAAATAAATAATAAAAACACTAAATAGAATATTTTTTAAAACTAATAATTAATTCTATAGCTGAAAATTATAATAAAATAATAATATTTAAAAAAAAAAACTATTTTGAGATAAATAAGTTGACATGAACATATAGTAAATATTATAAATGGCTACCAAATATGTAATATTATATATAATATTTAATATTAATATTGAAAATTTATTTTAAATAAAATCATATATATAATATTAATATTTATATTAAACATTTATTTTAAATAAAATGTTTGTATAATATTTAGTATTCATATTCAATATTTTATATAATATTTAATATTAATATTAGATAAAATTAAATATTTATTATATATTAAATAAAATCATATATATAATATTTAATATTAATATTGAAAATTGATTTTAAATCAAATTTATATATAATATTTAATATTCACATTAAATAATTTTATATAATATTTAATATTAATATTAGATAAAATCAATATTAATATAATAATGAAATGCCTAACTTTTTCTTAGCTCTTTCATTGTTCATCAATATCGAAGCATTGCATTACATTCAAAGCCAATATATCGTATAGTACACTTGCGATATTTCTAACTATCGCATGTCTGCAGTTAGATAACACGCGCTCAGCTCCAGCATTCCGCAGGAGTTAGCTGCCGCAAGACGACAATTTGCCATTGCACGTAACGGGAAAATCAATTAAAAGCGCTTTATGTGCGCGACAGTCTTCGGTTCAAGCTGCTGGGACAAGTTTAGCGCCTTGGCAAGTGGAACTTTGTTAGTTTCTAATTAATTGTAACAGTTACAGAGCATTTGCAGCCAGCAACAGGAGCAGGAGCAGGAGCAAGAGCAGCAGGAGTAGCAGCAGCAGCTGTGCCACAGCCAAGTTGGGCTGAGTCGGTAGCTTTTGGCCATCCTTAGTTATTTATGTCAAATGCTCAACATTATTTATGTTGCATATTGGGCGCTTTGTATTCGCAGTAAATTAACCAGAAATAGTCGAACTTCAATACAGATTCCCCCTAGCTGGGCAGCAGCAGCAGCTGCCAGTATCGCTTTTGCTGTTTATTGGAAATGTCACAATGAGTTTCACGTTATGACAATTTTATATGGCTGATTGGAAATAGCATTTACTTCTGCTTTACCAATTAATGAAATAAGCACTTACAGCTGCTTAATTTACTTTCCTTTTATGTCAATCCTAGAGGAGAAATGTACATAGCATATATTGGAAAACAGATGAAACGCATTGAGTAAGGGAGAGAGGGATAGAGAGAGGGAGAGAGAGAGAGAGAGAGAGAGAGAAAGAGACAGAGAGAGAGAGCTAAAATGCAAATATATATCAAAAATATGGAAGGGATAATCTAAACAGAATTTCTTTCTCATTAAAAATTCTAGTTAAATTATTCATTTTAAATACACTATTTAGGATTTAATTTAAAAAAGACTATAAAAAATATGGAAGGGGAAATCGAAACAGAATTTCCTTCTCATTAAAAGCAATACACAAATTTCAGTAAAATTATTTATTCTAATTACAATATTAAACATGTAATTTCAATATACAAAAAATTAAATGTAACCAAGTCCTGTGCCTGTCTCCTTTCACTTGGCCTATTTACTTATATTTATTTTAAAGAAAAAATAAAAATTAATAATTTGAAAAAGCAACCTTTTCATTAGCCCGTTTAGCGAATTCGTACAAATGAAATTACTGCTTCAATATTTGAATGCTTTAACAGAGCTTAGGCTCGCTTTGGCAACCTTTAGTTAAGCGTCAGCTATCTCAGGTATTGTCATTTCGTTTTATGGCTCCATTTAATATCAACTTATTTTATCTCACTCGCAGACAGCCAGCATTCAGACACCTATCTATAATTACCAGAAAATTGCTGAGCTGCCGAGCAATAGCCAGCGCTGTGGCCCACTTGCACACAAAGAGAAACAACTGGTCCCCAGGCCGAAGAGCCACACAAAATACGCTTTGTGCCCACACTCTCAAATATGTTGGAATAAAAAATTGAATGAAATCCCATGTTCATTTCCGTTTTGGTAGCCCCCAGCAGCAGCGTGTGTGTTTACGTATATATCTGTATATATACATGTGTGTGTCTGCACTTTCAATGGCTATCAATAGATGTCGACCCTCCAGGCGCCAAGTCCAAGTAAGCCGCACACGTAAAAAAGGCCAACGGAAACGGAAAAGGCTTAACAGCTGCGTTTAGACGGCTGAAAGAGCTGCCAACTAGGCAGTGCGACAGGGACGGGGGGAGTGGGCACGTGGGCAAGTGGGCGACAGTTGTTGCTGGACACTCACGGCATAAGCGGCATAATCATGAAAATTGTCAGTACATAATGCCTCAAAGGCCGTCATCGAGGCTGAAAAGCCGGAAAAGGTTTTTATTCGCAACTTTACTTACTTTACACGCTTGACTCCGAGAAAGAAGCCTCTGCAAAATTTGTAGAGCGGAAAGTAATTTTCTTGCGTTTTTTATTTCCAACGTTCCCTTTTTTTTACGAGTCGATTTTCGCTTAGTGTCCACCCCCTCTCCGCCCACTGTCGAGCAAGAAAATCTTGGCATCAGAAGAAAAAAAAAATGAAATTGGTAAAGAACAGCAAAAAGAAAAGTTCACAGGCCGCACTTTGATTTTGTTGTCTGCCATTTTAGGCATGCCCTAACCAAATATCGCTGAAACTTTTGGTGAAACATGTGACACATGAATAGTCCCTATATTGCAAACTATTCAAGGTGATTTAAGCGCTTTGCAGAATGTATATATATTGAATAAGCTACTACAACTATAAGGTTATGAATACATATTTATATTTTATTTTACCAGACTTTTACGAATTAATATAGTTTCCGATACTGTTTCCGATTTTACACCAGATTTTTATCCATATAGAAATATTCATCTATTTCATACTGCCTAAGTTTAGGTTTTAGTATGAAGCATAAATAAAATATATTTATATGTGTTCAATAAATACTCAATACTAATTAATAAATATACTTGTAATTTAATTATATATATATATATTTACAATCTAACTCTTTTAGAGTATCTACTAGTCGTTATGCCCTCGTCATGCTCTCGTGTATGTGTGGGCGTGTTTTTTTGTGCTGCTTGCGTTAGCAAAAAGCAACTTTTGCACGTTTCGATTGTGTAAAGTTTTTATGGCTTTTTGATTTTTTCACTTATTGGCCCTGATGCCGGACCCGCCCGCGCCCGGCACTGACCCTGGCCCATTTCTTGGTCAATGATAGGCGTGGCCACTCCCACCACCTGCTGCCCAAATGGCACTTAAATAATTACAAAATAATGGATGGGCGATGCCCAAGCTAAGGGCACTCTGCCCACAGCGAACAAAAGGCAGCGAGAGCTGTGGAGCTGCTAACGCATCCTTATCGATAACCTGTGCCTAATGCAAATCGTGCCCAAGTGCCAGTCAACACTCTGAGAGAACTCTTTCACTTTGCTCAACAACGTGTTGACAGTCAGTCAGCCAGTCATTGAGGCATCGAGGCAACGGTATGCAAATATTTGTGAAAAGCAAAATCAGTAAAAGTGCCTCGGGGCCAGGGTTCGTCAATGTGAAGTCACTTTGAGTTGTCGTCCTCTTTTTATAAATATTTAATGGACCAGAATGTAACAGACTCAAATCGAGATGTGTTTGCACAACTGTTTAAGATTCAAGCATAAGTTTTAGTTATTTGCGCAAAGTGCAAAAAAAAAAAAAAGAAAAGATATTTGACCTAAATGTAGGCTGAGTTTTTGTACACAAATGAAACTGAAAATATATAGTTTATAAATAAAATATTAAATAGAGAACAAAAGAATGCAGAGGCAGCCAAATACCTGTAAATTCTCATGCGCTTTACTTATTTAAACACATATTTTATTTTCCAATCAAATACTTTCGCCTGTGGCTCCACACAATAAGATTACAGAACGTGCAAATAACTTTTATTGATAACGAATTTGTAAGTGTGGACACTGCCACGCCCACTGGTCTAGCTAAAAAATCGCGCTGATCAATGCAAATGCACGTATATAGTAAATATAAAGAAAAAACCTCTATAAAATATTGAAAATACATTCCGCGTTTGTTTCGAAAACTAACAGAAAGAAAACAACAAAAAAAACGAGTTTTTTGCCGCGTAATAAATAAAATTAAATTATATTGCGAATACGTAAATAACAATGAGTCATTTAAAAAATAAACACGTCTGTAGCAAGCATTTTACACAAGCGAACAAGTTGCAAATAAATAAAATACAAATGCAAATAAATAAATACATTTTTGTGGATGGCGATGCGATTGAATTTGTTTTCAGTTCGCATTTCCTCTGCGTTTATTTATGTATTTTTTGTCTTCTGATATTTCGTGCATATGAGAAATGTTTTACAATTTCCACTATCCCCAGAACAGTAAATATTTTAAGTGTTGCCTATATGCACATGCAGTTTATTTTTATTTTTATTTTTTATCATGCCAGCCCTATCATTTATATTTCAGTTTTAATTTATATGCATTTGAATACTCGTTTTTATATGTGTGTGCGTGTGTTGGCCACATTGCCACGCCCCCTTTTATCGGACTGATTGAAAAAGCTCATAAGTTAAATGTTTGTATCTTTCTTGGGGGCGTGTCCGCAGGCGTAGCACGACAAAAGCGAAATTCTGAATATTGCTAAATTTAATTGTTTATTATATTTATTGACTAGCAAATAAACCCGTAAATAAATGCCATACACAGATAAAAAGAATTTGTTCATTAAAGCCTGTTAGTCAATCAAAACAAAAATATGCAAACCCGATTTTAATGAGAAATTTAAATTAGCAAAGTGAATTGAATTTTGAGCATGTTGGCTATAGAGGTTGTTAGATCATAATATATGCGGTGTTTAGGATGAAAAAGGGAAAATGCAATAATTAATCTATTCGATAATTATGCTAGGCACACACGTGGTATACTTAATTTATTTGAGCAGCTCAAATTTATTTTTTTTTTAAATTGTTTAAATTATTAATCTTTATTTTCCAGCATGATTTTTATTTTAATATTTATTTTTAATTAATTTTCTATTATTAACACGCTATAATTTCTTACTGAGCACAGGGTATAAGCTAGTCTGTAACATTCATACCTTCACATAATTAAATTACATTTGGAAAACAAAGAGAGTTGTCTTTGAAATTCTGCGGCCTCCCTGTTTACTCATGATTATCGTGCGGTCTTGCTGCCTGCCTGCCTATTCCTATATATACCATCTGCATATCGCCAACTCCATTTTCATTCTCAACTTACTCCTTCTCTCTATCCTGTTGTCTGTCTCTCTCTCTATGCCCGCCTTCTCGGAGCGCTATTTGAGCTTTGTGGTTGGCAAAAGTTTTGCGGTCGCTGCGCTTTGATTTAGCGATTGCGAATGCGGCTTGCAATATTTTAGCATATTAAATTAGAGCAAATGGCGGCAAATGGAAACTGAGTCCTGCGAGTAGTCCAAAGACATTCTGTATCGGGGGCTGGGCAGGCAGCTAGCTTGTTTGAGTGACAAATTTAAGTGCGGCGTCTAAATAAGTAATGTACGACCCTTACCTCTCTTTCCGTTGTTCTCACTTTCTTACTCTGTGCTTTTCTCTCCCTCTCTCTCTCTCTCTCCCATGCTCTCTTTCTCTCTGTCTTAGAATCAAAGCATAATGTTCAGGTCCAAGCCGCGACTTAGCTGTTGAGCAAACAAGTTTTGCATTTGCTTTCAAGAATTTAACTAGAAATCGGCTTAGCCAGCCAACAGTCAGCGTCATTCTCGTTGTTGTTGCTCTTATACCCTTACCAAAGTCATGCACCCTAAGTTTTTAAATTTCTTTAGAAAGCACAATATATATTCATTTTCAAGGTATATATGATATATACATATTATTTGCTGAGCTACTCGACATATTTAAGTAAGTACAAGTAGCCTTAATTTCCAGCTGAGCTTTCGGAATAGAGACAAATAAAGAACTCTAAAATACATCACTTTGAATAGAGTACCTCCAGTACCATTTGATCCAGATCCTGCAAATAGCTTGCCTCGCAAACATTATACTCTACCCTCCGCCAAAATTTCATCGCATTCGCAGAGTATAAACAATGCGCTGTGGTCTGAAGAGCCCTCGGCAATCAATGCTAAAATTTCTTATGACAAATATGCACCTGTTCCTCTCAATTTCATGACACAAAAAGACCAATTCGTATTGTCCAGCTATACACATTTCCTATAAATACCAGATCTACCACGGACTACAAGCAGAGCTATTGAGTCTTGCAATGCGATTCAACCAGTTGCTGCCGATGTCAGCGCCGAGAGGCGAGAAGTACAGCTTCGATATGAGCAGCAGAACATTTGATTCGTTACAATTGTCGATATTATAGTTCAATATCAATGCCATCAACTTAATCTCAACTACAGCTTGCACCTATTTACATTTATGTATAGCTATATAAAGCAAATATTGAGCTAGATTTACATGCATCTTTACTTTGCCGGCAGCACTTTATGGATTTTATTTCAAAGCCTTTGGCATAAATGATTCACGAGCACAACATCAAACAACATAATCGGCAAAGGAAGAAAACTATCGTTCATTTGTTCTGCAACCTTGTGCTTGAACGCGGGGTGACCAGACCCCCATCTACGACTCAATTGCAAACGAAATCCGCCGGACTCGTGGCAAGCCTTAAATATTACATGAAATGCCGAATCGCCAATGAGATGAGTCGCTGGCAATCGCAATGGCGAAAATCGAGGTGGAAGGCTTCAACTGTCTGAACGAGGTCCAAATACACTCGCTTAGCTGATTGAATATCGAAATGATAATAATAGCTTAGCAAGAAAATTGTTTCATATAGTTGGACTTACTAATATAGTAAAAGTGTATTGCTAAATATATATATTATATTTAATATGTTTATTCATATAATTTAATATGAATATAAGTATGAATATATATTGAATTTAAAAGCGATTTTTAGTAGAGTGTCAAAATTTATAAATTTACTAGTTATACGACATTATGTAGTATATGTATACTAACTACAGTATGGACTGCATATTATTTTGTTTGTTTGTTTTGTTTGCGTTACATACTTACTTAGGGCAATGCACAGTTATAGGGTATTCAAAGAAACGAATTGCCCAGGCAAATTGTATGTCCCATAAATAATGTAAAAAGTGTGAAACGCGCCTAATGGTGTGCCAAAGGACGAAAAGGATGACAGAGCTCTGTGCGCACACAGCCGAGAAAAAAGAAGGGAAAAGAAAGACAAGCAGACACAGACAACGGAGCGAGAGCGAGAGGGAAGACTCTTAGTGACAGGCGTTGCATGAAATGGCGCATAAAATGACAATTGGCAGCTGATGTTCGGGGGGCTTTCATAAATTTTTGACTACACCTACAACTACATAGTTGGATATTTGAGGCAGTGGGGAATGGAGATCGGTATAACATTTCGTTTGTTGTTAATTGAGTGTGGAATACAATACTCAATACAAAATACATTAACAATTTTTCATAAAAAAAATCAACAAAAAACAAAACAAAAGCCCAAAATTTACTCAAGCCTCTCAAGCTAGTTTAATTTGGATAAATTTTCACTCTGTTTCTGCACATCTATAGTTGAGTAATTTGATTTAGATTTAGGTGGCATGTCCTGCAATTCGTGTCCACCCTTTGCTGCCTATAAGTTTCCATCCTGTTTTCAGCGATACGGCGGCGTCTCCAACAACAAGAATCCCGGCAATGTCCAAACGCTGCACAGCCTCGCCCACAATGTGATGCCGAAATTCTATGATGGCATCGAGCTCGACTACTATCATCGACTGGCGCCAAACAAATTCATATCGGCCGCCTGGGTCCTGAGTCATGTGAGACCCGCAGGCTTTCGCTTTGGGGGCCTCTACACGTTTCGTATGGTCGATGATTTCATGGTGAATGCAAGATGAGAACTGAAAACTCTTAAACATGTTCAATCTAATTCGATTTCTCCCCACAGCTAACGCCAACAATTGTCGGCGACATACATCCCACCACATTGGCCGCCAATTTGAACCTCCTTTACTATCCATTCAAGCCACTGCGCCTGGAGGCTGTCTTCCAAAAGGCCGGCGAGGCCTCGCCCGTGGAGACGCAATATACAATCGAGTGGACACGTCCCTGCGACACCTGGACAACAAATTTGTACAATGTGCGAAACGAGACTGGACGTTGCACTTCGTCGGTAATGCGTTCCATTTCCCAGCACTGGGCAATCGGCTGCGAACTACTGGTAGAGTGGAATGAGCCAAAGAAAGTAATGTCAGACTTGGCATTTGCTGCACGGTGAGTAGAAAGTGTAGGGTATATAGAGGACTAATAGCTAGTGGTAACTGTAACCAAAGGCCTAATCCATCATCCTAATCTTTCGCAGCTACTCCCACCATCATTATTCCTTTGCGGCAACAGTTTCGCGTCAGGGCCTGGACGTTAGCTATTGGCAGCGAATCCATCCGCAAATCCAGATGGCGAATTTGTTGGCCTGGAATCGCAATACACGCAAAACAATCGCAACCATATGCTATCAATGGAACTTTTGGAACTGCGCCGTGCATGGCATGATCGACTCTGATGCGCTAGTTGGCTTCATGTGGACCAAGTACGTCAGGCATATATTACAAATAAAAATGCCAACGATAAGCTCTCTAATGACTGTCAATTCTATCCCTCAGATATCTTTCGCACATACCACTGCAGATGGGCTTCAGTGTGGTAATGAGTCTGCCCACAGATCGCTTTGCGTTCGGAATGCGATTTGTGCTTGATCCGAGCGGTTTAAGACGCGGAGACTGACATGTTTTTATTTGAAATGTTGAAATTATATTTTTTACCAAATTCTCTGAGAAATGTCGTGTATACAATTTAAGAAATGTTTGGTGTTCAATCAGCAAATTTGTGAGTTAATGGGCGGTGTAAAACGCGAAAGCAAAGAGGCTCATAGATATAAATAGATAAATGGGTTCCATTGTCGCAGTATTGAAATTGCTTCCATTTAAAGCTATATATTGTAAAGGTCTTCTAAGTATACATACATAAATAATAATTATAAATTTCAAGCCAAGCAACTCTTTTTTGCTTAGTCAACAGCTTTTTTGCTCAACTCCTGTGTTTTGCACAGAAAAAAACAGCATCATAAAATATTCTTAGAACCAATAGAAAGCAAAGCTTAAACTATATTCAATGCTTAGCACTTGGCCAAACTAATTGCCATTTCCTGTTTTTCTCTACGCTCGACTTTTAAATACATTTGCGGTGCCTGGCAGAGAAGCCCCAAAGCAAACTTGACTCGCAATCGTATAAATAAAATTTATAAAATGCCAGCACACACACACACACAGACGTATTTGTGCACACACATGCGCATTTTGGCAGTTTGGTAATACGGGCACACGCTGCACATTAAGTATACGCAACGCAGACACACTTGCACTCACACACACACATTCACATTCACACAGACAGACGCACATTGAGAACTACATTATGGCAACAATTTTATTTATTTTTATTATATTCTCATACCCTGTAACAGAACGCAAGGAGGCATGACTTTAAAAATATTATTAATACTTTTCATAATAAGATCATGTCAAAGAATATAATGCTGGATATACAGTAGAGTCCCGATAACTCGAAATGGCAAGGCGAAAAATAAAAGATTTTATTGAAAAATAATTTATTTCAAGGGGATAGATGACTGCGGGGTAAAAATGACTGTACTACGATCAAATATGCTATATGCTATATTAATTTTGATCTCTACGAAAATCTTACATACATTATTTTCAATCCTTTTAGACCTTTACATGTTTTACTTGCTTTTTCTCAGCAATAAATCAAATTGAACTAAATCATCAGCGTTCAGGGTATTTCGTGTTCAAATGCTTTCAAGCAGCACACTTTTGCTTTCTACTTTTTATTATATATATACATATGTGTTTTTTTTTTCTTGTTTTTGTGGCCGAAAAACTGCAGTAAGACTCTTTGGCCGATGCATTTGATTTATGCGCAGCAAAGTCTAGACACAGTAAATATTTTTTAATGCCACTCGCTTGAAACTGAGCAGAGATTTTGCTTAAGAGCAAAAATATAAATCTAAAATAAATACAATTTATACAATACATTTGCGAAATGCTAGAGCTCAGCTGAGTTTCAGCATAATTTACTACATAATGGCTGTTAATCCGCTCGTATCGAGAGCGGTCCCAGATGGTTTATCAGAACATTTCTGGGCAGACGAGAGCCAAAGGCCGAGCGCCATTGACCCACAAAAGAACGAGTAAAATGAATAGGTGGGGAAATGCAAAACTTTGAATTGATTTTGTTTTTGAATGCCAAAACTTTTGGGCCATTGACTGTTCTTTTGTACAAACATTTGTGCTCTACGCATATGCGAAAACTTAAAGGATAGTCCCTAGAATGTGGCCAGGGCAAACTTTGCATGCGAAAAGTTTTCAATAATTTTACACCCACACAATCGGATGCGTGACGCTGGTGGAAAAAGTAAATATTAATATTTCAATAAATGCGGAAAATCCTTTTACACTCTGCCTACCGATTCGCAACGGTTTTTCCTCGTCGATGATGGCTGCCGCCCGCCAGAGGGCGCCTCGCGCTTATCGGCAACTTTACAAATCATTAGATTTTCATATCCGATGAATTTTACAACAATTTTTAAAACATTTACCCAACAGCAAAAAGATTTTTGCCCAACTTTCATATCTCGGCTTCAGCCCGTTTATGCCAACATTTTGTTTGCTTTTTCGGCATCGGCATGTCAATTTGTTTGTTTTTCATATGCTGTATGCGGGTGCTGTCTGTGTGTGTGTGAGAGAGAGAGAGAGAGAGTTGTGTGTGTGTGGGTGTGAAAGGGTGTCACAGTGTACATGATATAAATTTTATATATACTGCATATGCAGACGTCGTCGTCGTCGTCTCTGCTGCCTTATTCATGCTCGTGTCGCCATTTTATGTTTATTTAAACTTCCTCGTAGGCCCACACCAGCAGCAAATGAAAGAAACAGCAGCACAGCACAAGAACGAGCTGGAAACAAAACAGAGCAGAGAACAACAAAAAAATATATACATATATAAATGAAGAAATCCATAATAAATTATTATCAATGGCAGCAGCGCGAATGAGAAACGAATGTTGAAAGCCTTTCAGCAGCATTTTTCTCGGAACACAAAGGCAAAGAGTATAAGAAAATATGTATTTAATAAAGAAATTAATAATAAAGATGCCAGTCAGCTGATAAGCGCAGCGCAGCCCTTTAAATTAAATACATACATACATACATACATATTTAATGATATTTCATTTCGGTCAAGTAGCAAAAGATCGAACTGAGCTGAACTGAACTGAGAATAAGAAATAATTGAAAACTTTTTTCATTGATGCCAATATGCCGTTGACAAAACTTTAATAATAAATATATTAATAATTTAAAAGACATTCATAAAGATATTTCATAACTTTCTTCTCTTGATTTTTCTCTTATGACTCTAATTTCGAATTTATTAATTAGCATTTCTATTCCCTTCAGGTTACTCTCCCTATGTATACCATATTTGACATACTTATTGCATTTCCTCTTTTACCAAAATTGTTCTCCCTTACCATGTAATAGCTCTATGAGTAAGAGAATTTCAAGCCGTAAGACTCTTCTCTTGATTAGTGTTTTACTTAAGCCTGCAAGTTGAGTATTTGCCATCACCATTAGACCGGTTGAAGCACCGCTAACGCAGGTCAAGCTCTCTATCCACGCATAGCCCAAATACAAAGAAAACAGTGAAGAAAAGCCGGAAAAACTTGTTTGTTTGCGCAGCAATCGACATTTCTGTTCATGTTAAACAAAAACAAAACCAGAATGCAAACACAAACCACCACAGTTAGCTTTGTACTTCTTGGGATTGTTTTTGTTTTTGTTTTTTAATATAATTTTTTATTATTATTTCCTTTTTTTTTTCGTTTGGGCTTGCCAAGTGGAAAACATATTTAATTAAAGCTATCCGAATATTAAAAACTTTTTTGCCGCTTTTTTGTTTGGCTTTGCTTAAATTTTACACGCGGCTAGAGGTTTCTGCAACATACTTTTCGGGGTAAAGGCCTTAAGCTGCCGCATTACGAGGCATAAACAAGAGAATTTGGCACTGCGGGAGCCACTTTAAAGGCCGACAAATGCCCCAGAGGCACAGCGCGGGTCACTCAAGTTTTTAAAAATATGCAAAATTTTAATGAATTTTTGTTTGCTGCCTACCCACAGACACACGCACGCACACACATACATATACCAACTGCCGAACCTCCCCGTTCAGCCAAATTCCATTGGCCTGCCCCGAGGGTTGACGACCACTTAAGCAACCTTAAATGCAGGCCAGCACGCAAAGCTGTTGTTAACAATAGATGCGAGCCAAGAGATGCTCCCAAAGATGTCCATACTTATACCTGGACTAGAGAGAATACTAGGTATACTGATATATCTCTTCTCTTTTTACTCAGCATTCCTAAAAAGTTTTTTTAATTCAGCATATGCCGAGTTTATGTATTATTAATATATACATATTTATTTTAAAATATTTTCTAAAAATTAAAAAAAAAAAAATTAATTAAATAAATAATTAATTGTACAAAAAAAAAAATAATGAAAACAATTTTTTTTTTTCTTTTTATACACATCAACTCAATAAAGTTAGCTTCTGATTTCTTCACCTATTTTTAACACCTAATTTGTCAGGTTTTTTTTTTAACAGAGCCTGAAGTAAATTAACTTTAATTACTGCTCGACTTGTTTTACTTTTAATTTCGACTGCACGAATCATAAAATCGCAATAAAATTGAAAAAGTTTTAATTCAATTGCGAGGCAGTCCTTCAGTGAACTTTTTAATTCAATTCGCACGCACCGCAAATGGCGTTTGACTTGGCGAGCGCATTAACATAATCAGCTCACATATGGAGGCGGTGGCAGCGGGGGGGACAGCGGGGCTGGCCTCACAAGTGGAAGCAACAGGTGACAGCAGCAGCAACAGCAATCCGAAGCGAAGCGAACCGAACTGAACTGAACTGAATTCCAAGTAAGTGGCCAAGGCGAAATCAAAAGTAAATGCGCTTGAGCGCATTAAGAAGCTAGAAAAGCTTTTGACCAGCTGTACGGAAATTGCAAAAAGGGTGGAGAGAGAGAGAGAGGGCAGAGAGTCGGTTACCTAATACCTTGGGCTAAGTGCTGGTCTCATGCCTGGAGGAATGGCTTTGACCGGTGATATGTGCTTAGCCAAAGGAGCTTTATGATTAAGACCAAATGCCAATCAGAGCCTAAAGCTTGCTTAGCTTTCATTTCATCTCTCAATAGCACTTAATGGCCAACAGGAAGTACATGTTAGCTTAAAGGAAATACAAGTTTACACTGGAGCGAATAACTATTTATAAAAGAGACGAAGTAATGAGCCTTAACTTTACTTTATGATATGCCAACTGTATATTAGTTTAAATTTAATTAATAGGGAAAGCCTGCTCTTAGCAATTCGAGCTCGCTGAGTAAATGAGAAAGCGAGTTTTAGATTCAAGCAAAACCCCGATATTACGCCAAGGCAACTTATTAGAGTTAGAGTATTTGTTGAGTGGCATATTTGAGGGGAAGCGCGTCAACACGCCGACCGCAATTGGTGGCCATTTTTATTGGCTCTATCACGTTTGCGCCTACATAAGCAACAGACCGCAGCAGCTGTTCATCTAACAACAACAGGAAACGGAAATTGTCCATTGAAGCCAAAGTGCGTTTTATGTTGGCGCTACAAAAAATAAAATAAATACAAAAAAAAGAAGAGCAGCAAAAGAAGACAAATAGAAAAAGTTTATCTTTTGTTGGTCTGCGCTGCCCCAGGAGGCG